GGGTCTGGACCGATTTAGGCAAATTTGTGCACCATCATCATCCGTCACCGTCTGACAAAACAAACCATGTCTCACATACACACCGCCATGTGACAAAACACCATGAAGTATGATCCACACACACCATCATCACCAATCACAGCCTGCCAAAACACAGCGTTTAAAGAATGCACCTCTGTAATAACACTGTGATTCAGCTTGGGAGGTATTCATGTAACTCGGCAACAGATTTGTATGATAGGCAGAGATGACAAAAGTACACACACCTTTACTCAAGTAGAAGTACAGATACTCGTGTTTAAAAATACTCTGGTGAAAGTAGAAGTACTGACTAAACTTCTTTACTCAAGTCAAAGTAAAGAGGCTTTGAAATGTACTTCAGTAAAAAGTACCCATAACTAGCAGCTGTTTTAAAGAGTACCTGACCTCCCTTTATATTAATAGAACAATAATGTCATTGTTAGCTAATGAATGTTTCCATGCTGAACAACGGCAACATGACAACGTTTTCATTGGTCCCTCTTCTTTAGAGAAGACCAGGAAATGATGGATACACGGATCGTGTTCAAATCAATAGGCACGCAATGACTCTAAATAATAATGATCACGCCACCAAACACACATTCAGACTAAAGGAACCAGCCTGTTTGGAAAATGTGAGAAGTAGAAAGTAAAAAGTCGCAGTGGAGTAAAGTACTGATACCAGAAACTTTAACTTAAAGATCACCTATCATGCTATTTTTAGGCAATAGCATACTGTAGGGCTCAGATATATAAAAATATATAAAAAACATGTCTATGAAGTGTTTTGCTCAAAATACCAAACAGATCACCCATTCTAGCCATACCTCATATCCCTCTATTCCAGCCCTGTTACTAAAGTGTTGATTCTGGGTATAAAGCTTTATATATATATATATTTCAAATTCTACCCAGATACAGCTGAATGCTGCCGTGATGAAACGCCATATCGTTTTCAAAACCACATCAAGGATTACTTCTGAAACAGTATGGAGCTCTTTTTCTCTCTCAGGTTTACCACAAGGTGAGTTCCTTTTTATTTCCTGCTTCTTCACACACATGCTCTCTCCAGTAGAGGTTAGCTCTGAGTGTTAGCGATGCTAATGTAAACAAACCATATTACGTCCAAAACACGTCACGCATTGTTTCTGACAGCAACGTTTCTGATAGGGCCGTGGGTCTAAAGCCCGCCCACATTTCAGATATTACGTCATATCGGACGCAAATCTGGATCAGCTCCGTTGTTCCCACGTTTTTAGAGATTTGGGTACGGAGGAAAAGAGAGAGGGGTTTATTTTCTGACACTTTGTGAGTCTCCTGACACCGGGGACACATCTTTATGTATACAAGACATCTAAAAGTGCATTTTGAATGATAGGAGACCTTTAAGTACAGTAATGAAGTAATCCAATACTTCCCACCTCTGCTGACAGTAAGTGCATTAAACCAGCTGATCTCCCCGGCTGTTGGCCAACTACATAAGTTAGTCCAGATCCTATTGGCTGTGATGCTGCAGAACCACAGGATCACCAGGGGCAAATCCCNTTTAAACGTCTATCTACCAAACTCCCTTTCTTTGGACTAGACTTCCTGTTTTTATCATAGTGCCACACAAAGGACCCAATAATAATAATAATAACAACTTAGATTTATATGGCGCTTTTCAGGGGACCCAAGGTCGCAAGAAGGGATATCGGTTTCCTTTTTGTATCCTCTATCTACCAACCTCCCTTTCTTTGGACTAAACTTCCTGTTTTAGTGTCCATACTTTTAAGAGTCCCCATGTTTGTTCATCTGTAAAGTCCGTAATTACATTCAGCGCATCAAAGCCAAAAAAAGGACACAAGAAGGGGTTACAAGTGTCCTTTTTTAAAAACCTCTATCTCCCTTTCTTTGGACTAGACTTCCCTTTTTTATCCGAAGGTGTCCATACTTTTAAGAAAGCGCATGTTTGTTCATCTGTAAAGCCCACCGAGACAATATATGCTTAAATATCTTCGATTTGATCCTTTCTTAGTTTCTAATTGATTGACCAAATAAAGAGTTTTCGCTGGAGAAGGAACACCAATCAATCTGTAGCTGAAATCCAGATGCTCTGTTCAAAAACATGTCTCAACCCCTCCTCACACCGAGACAGGAAATGACTCTTAAGAAATGGAAGTCATGTGGTATTTGGTTTTGGGGGGAAATAAACTCCAACCAAAGTCACATTTTGGAGACTTGCAAAAGGTATTTCTGTAGGATATGAACACTGCATGCTGGGCCTCGTTACAAAACCATAGGTGTTGTAGTTTTTATATTTAAAATGTATATTCAAATGTCTACACGAGGCCTAGGTGGTGTCCCATTTTACTCACCATTTCTAGTGGAATTTAGACCACATTTTGATGTAAAGATATGATATAAATGTGTATGTTATTGCTTTATTGTGGGGTAACAAATGCTATTATGAGCACTATAATATGTAGAATCCCAACGTTTTCTTGTTTTAGCAACATGTTGCATCTTAACGGTACAATTTCTGTTCACTTTTGGCAGTTTTAGCCCAAAAAGGGAAACACTTTGGGTACTATATCATAATATATCAATCCAAAGCAATATTTCGTAAAAGAAGCCCATTGAAAACAACAAAAAACCCACTTTTCACCAAATGTAAACGTGTAGAAAACTCCTCGGACAATCGTGTTTGTAGAAAAATACTCTAATGCACTTAAAATCTCAAATGAATCCCAATTTATCAGCTAAAGAATTAAAGATGCTCTTATATGCACTACAATATGTAGAATCACACATGTTTATTATTTAGCACAATTTTGCCTCTTAACAATTTCTGTTTGCTTTTGGCGGTTTTAGCCCTCAAAGGGAAACACTTAGGGTATTCCACGTCAAACATATTAATCCAGAGCCCCCAAAAGAAGCCCATTGAAAACAACAAAAAGCCACTTTTCACCTCATTTGAACGTGTAGAAACTCCTCTGGCAATCATATTTGTAAAAAACTAATTCATATCTCACATAAATCCCAATGTCACCACACAAGCCAAATGAATGTCTGCGATGGAGAGCCTGAAGTGAGGAAGCATCTGCTGCTGCTTAATAAAATGTGGATTTGGCAACTCTTACCTCTTTTCTGCATGAAGGTGAAGAGGTCGTCCAAAAACTCCTTCCTCTTGGGGTCTGGATCCAGTTCATACAGCTGAAGAGGAAACAGAAGCTCATTAGGACGGCTTTGCTGAGTCTGTATTGAATACCTTCAGTTACCTCTCTGGATGAATGATGTGAAATATAACCAAGTGTTAAATCAGACTTTAGTTCCACCTGGAGTAAATCCACCAGCTACCCTGCAGTATACAAAGTCATTCAAACTAGCTGCACCTTTACCAGCTTTGAGAACACTTTCATGATCAATCATTATAAAACATATCATATCTATTATTCTGAAATGGACCAATCTGCACAATGACTACTTTTACTGTCGCTACTTTCACTATATTTTGATGAGAATACTTTTCTACTTTCACTTGAGGAACATTTTGAATGCAGGACTTTTACTGTAACAGAGTATTCCTACACTCTGGTACTTCTACTTTTACTCAAGTACAAGACCTGAGTACTTCTACTTTTACTCAAGTACAAGATCTGAGTACTTCTACTTTTACTCAAGTACAAGATCCGAGTACTTCTACTTTTACTCAAGTACAAGATCTGAGTACTTCTACTTTTACTCAAGTACAAGATCTGAGTACTTCTACTTTTACTCAAGTACAAGATCTGAGTACTTCTACTTTTACTCAAGTACAAGACCTGAGTACTTCTACTTTTACTCAAGTACAAGATCTGAGTACTTCTACTTTTACTCAAGTACAAGATCTGAATACTTCTACTTTTACTCAAGTACNTGTTGGTCCCTGAAGGCAACATCTCCCTGCTTCTGTTGGTCCCTGAAGGCAACATCTCCCTGCTTCTGTTGGTCCCTGAAGGCAACATCTCCCTGCTTCTGTTGGTCCCTGAAGGCAACATCTCCCTGCTTCTGTTGGTCCCTGAATTCAACATCTCTCTGGTTCTGTTGGTCCCTGAAGGCAACATCTCCCTGGTTCTGTTGGTCCCTGAATTCAACATCTCCCTGCTTCTGTTGGTCCCTGAAGGCAACATCTCCCTGCTTCTGTTGGTCCCTGAAGGCAACATCTCCCTGGTTCTGATGGTCCCTGAAGGCAACATCTCTCTGGTTCAATGCAAATGTGATTTTGGATTATGTTGGAAAATAATCTCTGTGTCAAACGGACGTTTATTTTTCTTACACGTTTAGTTCAGCGGGATAATCTCCACATATCAACACCACTTTATGCCGACTCAGGGTTTGGGGTTTTATGACTCGTAACGCTGACTAATTTCAGGGTTTTAGGACTCGTAATGTTATCTGATTACCCCAGTATCCATTTATTTGCAAGCCTGCAGAGTTCAGTACTGTAAACCTAATTTAAGTTGAAATACTAACAGGCTTTTCTGTATTTATTTTTGGATGGCATGGACTCACGCGGATGTGAGGCCGGATGCCGTGGCTCTGGCAGTATTTCTCCAGATAGTTCTGGACCTCGTGGTGCGGCAAAAAGCTGCTCAGCTTGGAGTCGAAGGGGAAATCAGGAAACATCATCACCTCTTTGGGAAGATTCGTCCTGCGGGAGGAGGAGGAGGCTTTAAAACTTAAATGTAAACAGGACCGTGAGTGTTTTATGAAGTTTCCTGAACATGGTGTTCCTCAGGGAAACCTCCTCGGCCCACTTTAGTTTTATTTTTGTAACACTAACACATTTCAGGGTTTTAAGACTCATAATGCCACCCGAAGGTCTCAATTTCCAGTTTTGCAAGCCTTCAGAGTTTAGTACAGTAAACCTAATTTAAGTTGAAATACTTAATACATTGACATGTCACTAATCAAATATAGTTTGCCACATGGGACCAAAGATGTTAAAGTACACACATCCTTTACTCAAGTAGAAGTACAGATACTCGTGTTTAAAAATACTCTGGTGAAAGTAGAAGTACTGACTAAACTTCTTTACTCAAGTCAAAGTAAAGGCTTTGAAATGTACTTCAGTAAAAAGTACCCATAACTAGCAGCTGTTTTAAAGAGTACCTGACCTCCCTTTATATTAATAGAACAATAATGTCATTGTTAGCTAATGAATGTTTCCATGCTGAACAACGGCAACATGACAACGTTTTCATTGGTCCCTCTTCTTTAGAGAAGACCAGGAAATGATGGATACACGGATCGTGTTCAAATCAATAGGCACGCAATGACTCTAAATAATAGAGGTGCACCGAATGGGAAATTCTTGGCCGAAACCGATACAAAATAGGAAACAGTTGGCCGAAAA